AGAGCCTTCTTTGTGGCAGCTCCTGCCCTCTGGAATGACCTACCCCCCAACCTACGTACAACTACGGACCTGCACCTCTTCCACCGAGCCTTGAAAACCCATCTATTCCATGCGGCTGGCCTGGCGTAGTTTTGATTGGGCTTTGCTAGGGGTTTTATATGGGGTATTTTAGAGCAGGCTTTTTATTCAATATTTATTGTGATTTTTATTATTGCCTGTTCACCACCCTGAGTCCCGTAAGGGAGATAGGGCGGTATATAAATTTAAATAATAAATAAATAAAACCCACCAGCATCCACGGATTATCCGCCTTCTGTCTCTCTGCTGTCTCACGCCCTTTATCCCTTCTTGCCAGGAAAGGCCAGATTCCACGGGCCACTGCCCTGGAGCGCGGCGAACACCTGATTGAGGGAAACGGCAGCAATGCTTGCAACAGTGAGTACTTCTCAGGTGCAAGGAGGTGGGAGGAGTAAGGGGTAGGAAAGCTGCCTGCAGCCTCTAATTCAGGGGCGTCCAGCCCTGGCCACTTTTAAGACTTGTGGACTTCAACTCCCAGAATTCCCCCGCCAGCTATGCCAGTTTCAAGTACAAACCTAATGCAAGCTATGCTGGCTGGGGAATTCTGGGAGTCGAAGTACACAGGTCTTAAAAGTGGCCAGGGCTGGAGGCCCCTGCTCTAAATGCACACTTTTGTAGTCACCAGCAGTTGAATCATCATCAGCCCTGATTTATTTACAAAAGTTTATGTGCCGTTCATCTGGCTATCGGAAGCGACTGAGAGAATGGATCGTTTCCCCACTCCCATTTTTGAAATAGGAAGTGGAGTCAAGACTGAAAGAGAGCCTAAACCCCTCTAGCTTAAACAAGGTCACTGTAGAAGAGCAGGCTGAGCCGGAGGGAGGGAGGGGCCAAGCACGTCATCAGTCTCGAATCCCTTCGTGCCCACAAGAGATCTCAATCCAGCCCATCTTGAATTCCTTTGACTCTTATCTGCCGCCAATTTGCTTTGACTGTTAGTAGTTCAGATTCTTGTCGAGAGCTGAAGCTTGCGATAAACCTTTATTTATTTGAACTGATTTCCTGTGCTTGACAGTCATACACCCGAAGCCCCCATCCCAAGTCCTGGACCGCTGCAGACCCCAACTCCCAATTCAATACGCACACCCCATAAAAGAGCACCCTGTGGATCTGATGGAAAGGGTGTCTTTTCAGAAATAACCGAATAAAGAAATCCAAAGAAGAAATTATGGAGCAGCTGCAAGAGAAGCAGAAGTGGAAAAGCTGAAACCCCGTTGAAGAATATGGTAAGAGGACGGGCAGCTGTCGTGCTAATTAAAAATTTGCCAGGCCACTTATATTTAGGATCCCATTTCAAAGGAGGAGGGGCTCCCCCAGAGAACTCTGACGTGTTACGTGCACCTCTTTTCTGAATTTTTCATACTTTCCCAACTTTTTCATTTTTTATTATGGGAGGGTATTTTTGCACAAAAGCAACAAGGTCACAAGATTCTAATACATCATTATCCTGATGAAGGGGAAAAAATGGGAATGCCTGCTTAGGCGGTATCCAGTAATTTTCACCTGCTACAAAAACTCACAGTGAGAACGAAGGTGCTGTGGATGATTCTAGACACCTATTGAGGCACGGTTGAATAATGCAACCTGCTTTGCCAAAAATTATGAATGCATCACATTGGCCTATATTTTTTGCACAAAGGGTTCTTTTAATTTATGAAAGGAGAATGGGCAGGGACAAGAATTGTTATCTGTGCACACATATAAACTTAAAAATAAATAAACAAATTATCAGGGAAATGGGAACCGATAGTTTTTTCCTTCCAGGTGCCTATCATTTTTACACACTGTCTAAAAATGTTTCGGTCTCCAGAGCCCCAAAGTGATGCTGTGTTCTAGGGAGAGTGCAGCCTATGCAATTTCTCTTGATGTTGACTCTATACTTCTGTTGATGATGCAAGCACCATCCTTCCTTTTCTGTACCTGCCTTACATGGTTGGTTCACGGTCCATTGTGATCCACCGAGATCCTTTTCACAAAATGCTGCCCAATATTGTCTCAGGGACAAACAAAAATGTTACCTGATCAAGAACAAGTGTTAAAAGAATTCCAGCCGGATCCCAAAATAAATACTGCTAAGTAAATGCCAGAAAGTTTTTTTATTCCTCCCTGAACAAAGCGACACATAATAATTAAATGAGATCTTCAAAACGGATTCATAGGATAAGCAGATGAATGAATGAGTTAAAATTGCTCATTGTATTCTGAAGAATGTTCAGTTCCTCATTTCTGATGTGCTTAATTAATTCCTGCGGGTACACATCGGTGTGCTAGTTTAATACCTTTGCAAGCTGTCTTGACAGAAATGATGGGAAAGATAATGTGTAATTTGACATTTTTTAAAAAAAATCTAATAAAGCCACTGTCTTCTGTGATTTTCAGAAATTGGTATCAGCGTTCCCAGATACTCTGAAAGAAGAACGTGATTTACAGGACCAAATATATATGCAGAAATATGCACAGCTTATGTTCTTACTGTTCCCAGACACAGGAGGTCAGAGGTATCTGGAGATGCTAAGAGCAAAATCAGAGTCAACTCCATCCTCAGTAATTAAAATAGACAAAATGCTTTTAAAGTATTTCCGAACATTAGTAGGAAGTATTGGAAAACTGTTGGATCCCTTCCATCCGTTTTTACTGAAGATAAAATCAACTTTACGCTTTGGTATCCTGCAATGGACTTTGCATGTCAGGAGCAAGCTTAGTGAACAAAATGAGAGCCATTCTCTGTAAAGGTTTCCACAACTTACAACGGTGATATCTGGTGAGCCTTTTTAGGGTCATGATATAGTCACTGTATTCCTTTTTTTTTTTCCTTTTGTTTGAAACATTTCCATTTGTAAATAAAGTTTATCCTTTTCTCTCCAAAGACTGGTGTCTGGGGTCTCTCAAAATAATCTGTGTTTAAAATCCGTTCACGTGTTATCAGTTGGTTGTAAAAAATAACTAATTAAGAAATAATATCTGACCAAGCCAGAGTAGAGTAATAGTTAAGGACAAGGATTAGGGAGACTCAGGTTCTGGCCCACCTTGGTCCTGGGGGGTAACTTTCTCTGAGTCCAGTCTACTCACAAGGTGGTCGTTTCAGAAAAGAGTTGAAAGAAAGCTGAGGGGGGAAAAATCTAAAAAATTAACACAAAAGTATATGTAGTTTTGTAAAGTTCCACAACTCTTCTGTTCTTCTTACTCATGAAGCCATCAATTACTCCATAGGCTTCTTTATTTTTTTGCACACCCTCATTTGAGAAGATGGCAACCACAGACCTGCAGAATTGGGGGGGGGAGCTACTATTGGCTGTAAATGGATTTATTTCTAACACAATCTTACTTCTGCATTACAATTCCAAAACTGAACTTGTTTTTACATTACCCAGTAAATTTACCCAGAAAACTGATTGACCATCTACAAAATTCTCCAGAATCAGTCTCAATTCAGGAGATTTTTTTAAGCAAACAAATTACTCTGGTGTGCCCAGCACACCTCAATACCAACTCTAACAGACAGGTTTACCATCCTTCATTTATTCAAAAACAGTACGAGCAGCTACATGATTAAGTAGGTCATCTAAAGCTAGTCCTGCAAACTGTGTTTCTTCCAGGATTAAAAGCAGACGAGTCTGCAATGACTCCCAAAATACATCATATGGACGCATGTATCCACAGAGAAAAAATGGCATTTTCTTGCATCACGGTTTTCAATTTTTCAGGGAAAAAACAAGCATATTTTGGTGAGGAAAAACAAAACACTCAAAACTTCCTGGTGCTCTGCTTTTGGAGGAAGACAGAAAGAATATAACTTGCAGTTGAGAGAAAAATCCTGTCTTTAATTTTCTGTTACCTTATTTTACATTTGTCCGACTTCCCCAGTACAGCCCTAGGACATTAAATCAAATCATAAATATCTTCAGTAGCTTTAATGTCAGAGAGACATTAAATATCAAGAGACATTGAATATCAAGTTAACATCTTGCAATCATATAATTCTGCTGCCATTCAACTTTCCTACATTGATAAAAGCAGTGGGTTGGGGGGGGCGGCGGTTTGCACATGTCTGCTCAGGAAGAAAACCATTATTAGTCTATGCTTTAAATGATTGTTGCCATTTAGACAGCCCCAGGTCCCAGAAATTCATATTTAGAACCCCTCAACAGTAGAATCCAAACCATATCAGACAAATCTTGTGGTTCCTTCGTATATTTAAGACCTGAGAAATCCCCAAGGAATCTTTTTCTACGATCAAAGCTATTAAGAAGCAGGCAACTAGTACAATTTATAACGCAAACTAACTAGTGAACAAGATTGCCCAACTTGCAAAGTTTTATCAAGATAAGCCCAAGAATCCAGACCACCCAATGTTCTCTGGAGCAAAACGATGAATATTCAATGCAAACATGGCTTCAAATTTGACTGGGCTTCTATGGGTACTTTGCCACCTTACCTTAACCGATGATTTAAAGAGCTCAGTTCAGACCTGAAGGTTTGTATCTCCAGAGACAAACAATAAAAGATAGTCACAGCTTAAGACAGGCTTAGTCCATAGGCTGATTTGTTCAGTAATCCACTAAAAGAATGAAAACACCGGTGATACTAACCACATTTATCTGCAACGACTGGAATGAAGTAAAAATCTACTGTAAATAAGGAAAGACTTTCGGGTTCAGAAACGGGGTATAAAAATCTTCTTTTCTTCCCCTAATTTAAGATCACGTAATTGGCGAGACCTACAGTCGACGAGACGGCCTTCCTTTTTGTTTTTAGGAGGCATTTTGAAGTGTCCCCAAAACAGCATGTTTTGCACAATTAATGCAGCCTGGCGACAGCTGCAATTGGACAATTACAAAAAAAAAGAGGGAGGGAGGGAGGGAGGGAGGGGGAGAGAGAGAGAGAGAGAGAGAGAGAGAGAGAGAGAGAGAGAGAGAGAGAGAATTTTAAGCTTGATTGGCTTTAGCCGAACCGAGATGCAGGAGCGTCACCACCGTGGTGTAACCGTGCAGGAGGTCATCCTTCGTCTCGTTGCATTCCCGGAGGACAAAATTCCCTGTCACGATCCGGTCGCACCCGATCTCCCCGTGTCCGAAAAAGCCAAACAGGGGCACGTTTGGGAAGTATTTTCGGAAAGCGTCTGCTTCCAGGTTGGGCTTGCTTTTGTAAAACCGGCACCCCCGGCCCACGCAGGCGAACATGAAGGCCAGGCTGTGGTGCTCGGGAAGGTGGGCCGCCTTGAGGCGCTGCATGGCTGCTTCGGCCGACTTTTCGTCCGTGACGTCTTGATCCAGCAGGACGGAGGCGCACCGGATCTGGGGACCACTGAAAGCCAGGCCCACCACGCCACACGACTCGGCAGGCTGGTTGTGGCTGAAAGAAAGGTGTGTGTGTGGGGGAAACAGAATCAGAAGCTGGTGGTTCACAACGCAACATCGCCCACAAGCGATGCAAAGCAACACAGACAGTCCTCGACTTACAATCATTTAGCGACTGTTCAACGGGTCTGAAAGAAGTGACTTATGACCGGCTCTCACACTTAACAATTGCCGCAGCATCCCCACGGTTGCGTGATCGACATTTGGGCACTTGGCAACCGCCGTGTATTTTGGAGGGTTGCTGGGTCCGGGGATTTGCCCGTTGTGAGCTTCCCAACAAGCTTACAACAAGCAGAGTCAACGGGAGAAGCCACGTTCGCTTAACGACTGTATGATTCACTTAATGTCCACAGCAAACAAGCTTGTAAAACTGGGTGCGACTCACTGAACAACCACCTCCATTAGTGATGGTCCCAGTTGTGATTGTGAGTCGAGGATTACCTGACCGATACACTACGGTTAGCTC